CTGCTAGATGATCCCTGCTGAAGCAGCCTGGCTGCGTTTGGGAAAGCACCGTCTTTGGGAGTATCGAATGGTCTGGATTCATCACAACACAGAATTAGTTAGCGGTTATGTATGGTGGGATTGGGGGAGATTGGTTCAAGGCCCCAGCGGAGATGCCACAGGGACCACTGGCTTCAGAACTGGCTTGGATTTAGATTTGAGTCTGCTCATGCCAGTTACTGGCTGAGTGAGTGGTTTTTTAAAGATACTTAACCTTTTAAAATGTCAGTTTCCTTATCTGTAAAAGGAGAATAATGGGAATGCTACTTTATAGGGTTGTGAGAATTTAGTGAGTTAAGGGATATATAAAGTGCTTAGTGTATTGCTGGATACTAGTAAGCATTCATTACAAGTAAGCTGCTCATCCAGGGGAGGGAGGGTCTAAAGGGGTTCAGAATGTGTTTCGTAGGGAGCAGTGGGCCTCTGTGTCACCAGTTCAGTACTTACATCTACTGCTCTGATTTGTATTGAAGTTTTGCATATTTGGAAAATCTCCCTGATGTGACCCTTAGCTCCCTGAGAACCATATTTCTAACTCTCGTTATGATGTCTTCAGTGCCTACCATGGCTGTAGACCCATAGGAGGTATTCAGTTAATAATTCATTTTCTCAGATAAGGGACACTTAAGCTGCTTATTATTGGCCTTTAGTATTAAAAACACTTTTATATAAATCCAGAGGTAAATTTTTGCCTAGAAATAATCATGTGAACTGCTATCTCATAGTTTGCTGAGGACTCTAGTACTTCTCTTCTGAACCGATAACTCTGAAATATGACCTGGAATTTAATAGAAATCAGCAGCTATTTAACGTTTTTAGAATAATAATAAAAATAAATACTTGGGGAAGTTTTCAGGCATTGCAGAGTGTATGAGATAAGATACGAAGTCACTCCTTTCCCAATTTCATTCCCTCGGTGTGTAAGTGCAGTGGTTTTGTTCAACAAAAATAAAAATGCGTTCCTGTAAGTAACAGAATTACCCACCAAGCCTTGCTTCTTGACCTCCCTTCTTTTCTATCTTGCATCTCTTTGAAACACGGTGCTGAGGCTACAAGTGGATCCTACAGAATGTTTTTACCTCTCTTCCCTCATCTCCCACTGCTAATTGCTGTGTTTATTCAGTTGGCTGAGCCAGCTCTGTCACGACTGCCCCCGTGGGAGCCCGAATACTGTGTGCCAGCGTGCCAGAGCGGCGATCCCAGCAGCCCCCGGGCGGGAGTGGAGGGAGGCTGGCGGGACTGAGAGGAGCCCAGGCGGAGCGTTCCCAGTCCCCTTGGCCATGTCGTTCATAACTGGGAAAGGGCATCTTCTGGCCTTACCGGTTGTTTAGTGGACACTTCCTCGTGTCCTGTGAGATGATGTTTTTACCTGGAGTGGAAGTGTAGGACTGTGGAGACCTATGGTGCTCTCACTTTCTTTCATTCACCAGTCCATCCACGTGAATTTGAAAGTTTTCATTTCATATCTGTTCTCAAGCCAGTAAATCCTGCCAGGGCTTCTGAAGCACCCTGCTTCCCGTAGGAGGCAGGCGGGTGGGTGGGTACTAGGTGGGTGGGGAGATCAATAGAGAGAAAGCACCGAACAGTTTGAAGGAGAGGGAGAGAATTATTTTGTTTTCCTCTTAGGGTGCCCAGAACAGCTACAGAGAACTCATCTACATACAAGAGTGTCCAACCTGCAGCCCAGGATGGCTGTGGATGCGGCCCAACACAAAGTCATAAATTTACTTAAAACTTTGAGATTTTTTTGTGATTACATGTCACAAGGTATTTTAATGTGTGGCCCAAGACAGCTCTTCTTCTAGTGTGGCCCAGAGATGCCAAAAGATTGGACACCCCGACCCCAACCTTAAGATAATGAAAAGAACGGATACAGGGATGAGTGACAAAGATAGACTTTCCCTAAAGAATTATGGGTAAAAATTTAAGGTTTTCATAGCATAATTCTAAGAACTAAACAAAAGGAAGATTTTTATGTAAAGCAGACCTTAGTCCCATGTGGAAATGACCCTTGGACATGGGAGACAGCTGAAATTTGATGCTGTGTAACTTTGAAATGAAAGGGGGTTTGACTGTCTATCTGTAGGCAATGTCATGGTCACTTTCTTAAGAATAGCACAGCAGTTCAGTGCTTTAGCATACTGACTTCCTCTTATTGATTATTTTTTCATTCTCTTATGCATCGTAAAAATACATCATAGGCTTTATTTCAAAAGTAATATATGCATATTATTAGGAGCACAAGGGAACTTGGGGGTTTGGGGTAGAGGTGTTTGCTATTTTGATTATGGTGATGATTTCATATGTGTACATAATTTGTCAGTCTGACCAAATTGTACTCTACAAATAGATGCAGTTTGTTGTGTGCGAATTACACCTCAATAAAACTTTTACATTTTTTGTTGATTTAATGACTACAAGTTGGAGTTATTGCCCATTTTTAAAAAGTCGTTAGCCCATTTTTAAAGAAATATTTTGCCCTGACTGATGTGGCTTAGTGGATTGAATGCTGAAAGGTCACCAGTTCGATTCCCAGTCAGGGCACATGCCTGGGTTGCGGGCCAGGTCCCCAGATGGGGGTGTGGGAAAGGCAACCAATCAATGAATCTCCCGCACATCAGTGTTTCTCTCCCTCTCTTTCTCCCTCTCTGCCCCTCTTTCTAAAGAGAAATAAATGAAATCTTTTTTAAAAAAATATTTTGTCTTTATTGTGATTTGTACCAGTTCTTTATAGGTTCTGGATGTGTGTCCTTTGTCAGATGTATGTATTATGAATACATACATCTCCCAGGCTCTGTCTTGTCTGTTTGTTATTGTGATAGTATCTTTCAGGGAGAAGTTGTTTAATTTTTATGAAACCCAGTTTATTAACTTTTTCTTTAATAGTTCTGTTTATGGCCCAAGGATTCTTTATTATGAAGTTGTGACAGTTTTCCTTTTTTTCCCTATAAGTTTTATAGTTTCAGCTCTTATATTACTTTTGCATAGATGGGGTAAGAGTTGAGGTTTATTTTATTTCCATTGAGTATTCAGTTTTTCATTTTTTCAAAAAAAGTTTTTGTTTCCCCCATTGAACTGATCCAGTGCTTTAATAACTGCATGTGCACGTGTCCGTCTCTGGTTTGTTTTCTGTCTCGGTCATCTGACTATCTGTAAGCCGGCACCACACTGTTTCAGTTGCCGTAGCTTTACAGTAGGTCTGGAAATCAGGTGGTGTAAGTCCTCCAATATTTGTTATTCTTCAAAATTGTTTTGGCTCCCTAGCTGGGTAGTTGAGTTGGTTAGAGCATCATCCTGATACCCAAAATCGTCTTGGCTATCCTAGGCCCTTTGTATTTTTATATAAAGTTTACTAATGGCTTGTCAGTTTCTGCAAAAATACATGCTGAGGGTTTGACTGGGTTTGTGGAGTTTTAGGTACATAATCATCTTAAGAATATCAAGGTTTCCAATCCCTAATCACATATTTCTCCATTTATAATAATAGCCTTTGTAGATTTTTGTTTTATTTTATGGAGAATAACTGATTGTGGTAATGATGGCTAACTCTTCTTTAAAAATAGTGTGAGATCTTTCTGTAGCTTTGAATGCATTTTGTTTTGGGTAGTATGAGTTTTAATAGCTATTAAGTTAATATTGAAAGCCTGGCATGAAGTTTAGAAAATGCTGCTGAAAGTTTCATTTCCTGCAGCTCTCAGTGGATAGAGAGTTCCTTCTTGAATTGAGGAGAAGGAAGGATAATTGGTACTGAGAGAGAAGGGAATACTATCTTGTCTGAAGGAAGTGACGCTTATGAGTAGGAGAAAGCCAAGTGACACGAACCCAGTGACTTGATGTGTAAAATGCGGGGCGGGGGGCGTTGATCAGAGTGCTGACATTCTGAAGCCATCTCTGCCAACGAGCTCCAGGAAGGACGGTGGCTGCCGACCGCAGGCAGACTTGCGTATCTTAAGTAAAACAGTGGCTTTGCTTTTTACAGGATAAAATGGGGAGTCAGGAGGTGAGCTGTTGAGAAGAGAAGGCTTTGCCAAATCTGTTACACAAGCATTAAACTTGTCTTTCACGTGTGAACTTAAAAAACAGAAGTAAGAGAAGGGCTGTGGAACCAAAATGGCGTCAATAATTTTTGGGAGTTACCGCATGTTCTTTATTGACACTTCAAACATCACGCTGGATCTCAAGCAGGTGCCCGGAGATGGGTTCCGTGTGGGGCAGGGTCCTGCCGTGCCGTTACCCTGACCGTGCCGCCAGTGGTGATGGAAGATTCTTCACTCTTTTTGTCTGGGTTTTTGTTTGTTTGTTTGTTTGTTTTGTTTTTTCTAATTTAAGGAAAGGGTTTTAGTATTAGTATTAACATTAATCTAGTAACCAAGACTTAAATCTATGCTTTCAAATTCAAAGACTTTTTTAATAATTTACTTTCTCCTGTAGTCCATGCTCTCAAAATTGGGAGGTCTCTGTTGTCTGGTTTTGAGACTTTAATTTAATAATGTCATTCTGCTTATTGCTGTGAGTGGTGATTTAATGAATTTGATTTGTTTCCCCCTAAGAATCACTAAAGGAATAGAGAGTGCCCTGAAGAAAACACTGGTGGCGTCAATTAATTTCAACTCGTGTAACTTACTTTGTGTGAGAACTTTGCTGGCGTTTTTTAAAACTTGAAGGAAAATGTTTGACCCTTTGGTAGCTAGTCAACTGTAATATGGTCGTAGACTTGTCTGATTACCATGAATGAACCGAAGTTAGGCTTGTGTTTGTGTGTACCTCCATCTGTATGTGTAACGAGTGTGTGTGTGGGGGGGGCAGTATTTTCCCCAATCCTGAGGGAATCAGCGTTATATTTTACCTGAGCAGGGAGGGAGCATGCAGAGAATCTTATATACTGACCTTGAAAAACAATTACATAATGAGAACTTAAAGTCACCCTTTCTCCTTACCTGCTCTCTGACCGTTTCTTACAGGGTAACCAGGAGCCAGCAACAACTCCTGACGCAATGGTCCAGCCTTTCACCACCATCCCGTTCCCACCGCCCCCGCAGAACGGAATTCCCGCAGAGTACGGCGTGCCACACACTCAGGACTACGCCGGCCAGACCAGTGAGCATAACCTGACCCTCTACGGAAGCACGCAGTCCCACGGGGAGCAGAGCAGCAACTCGCCCAGCGCACAGAACGGATCTCTCACGGTGCGTGCGTGCGTGAGTGGCGAGGGGCACAGCGGAGGGCGTGTGTCGTCTTTGAAATCGGCACCTTAATCGCCATGCCATAAACCCTTTGGATTAACTTGGCATTTACGTCACACTACATAGCATTTATGTCGTGTCAATTCTACTCCGAACATTGTAATTAGAAGATAAGGGTTTAGCATTCAAATTCACAGTCCCTGCCCAGGAGCTTACAGTCTGGAGGGGGAGCAGGCAGTGTTACACGGTGAGAGCACTGGCGAGACCAGACTCAGACTCAGACTCAGGGGGACGTGGCCCTTCTCAGCTTCCCTCTGCAAAGTCTCCCGACCCCTCCTGTGTTCTCATACAGCATCCCTCAGCAGCACCGCACACGCTGCCTGCCTCCTCCTCCTCGAATTCCAGTCTCTGGGCTTTTGGGACACTGCTGGTTTTCCTCCTCAGCACCTGGAGTTCTTTGTTAGTCTCTTTTGCCGGTTCTTCTTTCTCTGTTCAGCTTTCAGGGATTGCATTCCTTTGGGCCTGGGTTCTAGGACCCCTTTTCTTATTTTACATCCTCTCTCTATATAATTGTACTGCTAACTATATCTAGTTGCTCAAGCAAAACCTGTGGGTCATTCTTTATTGTCTTCACCTCTACATTTCTTCCATTAGCAAGTCTTAGCAACCGTAACTTTTTGAAAAATTATATTTATTGATTTTTATAGGGAAAGAAAGGGATGGGGAGAGAGAGAGGAACATCAATTTTGTTATTCCACTTATGCATTCATGGGTTGGTTTTTATAAGTGCCCTGGCGGGGAATCAAACCTGCAACCTTGGCATATTGGAACGAGACTCTAACCAACTGAGCTACCTGGCCAGGGTTTTGGCAACTGTAACTTTAAAATGTTTTCTTACTTCAGCCTCTTCTTAAGAATACAGCTGAATAGTGTACATGACTAAGAGCTCAGCTCTTCCTCCAGATTTCTTGGGTGTGGGTCCTGGTGTGGCCCCTACGCAGCAGTATGACCTCGGGCCAGTTATTTACTCCCCCTCTGCCTTGGCTTGCTCACTTTAAAATGAAGACGGTAGCACCTACCTCAAGTAGCTGTTAGGAGATGCAGAGGAGTTTGATTCATGTCATCATCAATCCTCCAGGTCAGACCTCATCATTTATTTCCCGTGTGGCTGCTGCCATTCTCCACACAGCAGCCAAGACTGGGGCTTTTTAGTGCAAATAATGCCATGTTCCTGCTTCACTCTAGTATTTCCTCAGCATGCCCAGAATAAAGTCCGACTCTGTACCTGTACTGTTCCCTAACCCAAATCCCTCTGACTTCACTGCTGACCGCTAACGTGCTAAAGTAAAGGAAACGTCTTAAATTAGCCGTAGGTATGAATCACACATGTGTTATCCTATAGGAAATCATATTGTCTGTGAGACTGTGTAGTATATTCCCAAAGGTAAGAATGTGCTGTACTCCACAGAGAAAGATCTCTCTAGTTTTTAGATTCTTTTTGCCTTTCCTCTGTCAGATTATCAGAAGAGCTGTATCCAGCCTTTAAGCCATACGATAAGATTTGTATGTATGTGTTTTAAGTAATTTGCTTGGATTTAACCTGTGGAATGGGCTTAAGCAATTTGCCTGAACTTAAGCTACTCTGTGATGTGCAACCACTGATGTTTTTGCTTAGTGATTTGCACTCTCATTTTTACTTGGAAGCCTGGCCAGAAGCCACCCCTGTGTCTCCATAGCTTAGTGGCCCACCAGTCATTTGGGCAGAGGTTGTGCTGACGCGTCTCGAGTCTGGGAAGCTCCCACCATCTGTTTGTGGGTTGAGAAGCACATTCGGAGTTCAGCCAGCGCTTGGGTTTCCCTTGGGTTTTTCTTTCCCTGGGGCCCTCACATGTCCCCCCTTCATCCATGTGGACTCGTGGTCTGTAAGGAAAGTGAGGAGAGCGCGTCCAGCTCTTCTGTGACTGTCTCGTTTCCAGGGTCTCCCCTTCAGACTTCTGGCTGGCCCTCCACTCACCCCAATTACACCACAGCCTCAAGCTAGAAAAGGCTGTGTTTCCCGGTAGGTTTTATTAAGTTTGCCACTTTCAGCCGACAGAGCTGTGGGTTTCCTACTGTCTGGCTCCTCCAGAGGCCCCAGGTGGAGTCCACTGGTTTTCGTGGCCCCAGCCTTGTGCTGATGAAACCCAGTTCTCTCCAGCACAGTGGAAGGGTCCGGGGTGGGGTTAGTGGGTTCGAAGAGCCCCAGGCAGCAAGTTTGTAGCCTCCTCTTGGGCCTACCCCAAGCTCGAGCAGTTTTTCAGTTTTTTTGTGTTCGTTATTTGCCTTTCATTGGTTTCTAGGACCCTGAAATGACTGTCGGACAGTTTTGTCCAGTTTCCTTTTTGTTGTCTTGTTCTGAGGAGAGGACTCAGTGACCCGCTCCCGTCACCGTAGCCAGAAGCCCCTTCTCCAGACAGTTGTTCGTGGTGGTTTGGGATTAGCCACGGCACCTCCTCGCCGTTGCGCATTTCTCCCTCTCCCCCTCCTTACTGCTACCGTTCCCCATTGATCCCGGTGCCCAAATTGTGTGTTTCTAACGACAGTATTAGGGCGAGCTCTGTTCCTTCGTACACATCTGTACAGTTAAGATAGGTATTTACTCTACAGTTTGGCATTATGCCGAGCAGTTTGAGTTCCTAGAGAAATACTGCAGTAACATTAGGAACCCATGTGCGTACAGCTTGTGAACTTACTGGTGCTGAGGAGAAAGTGGAAAGTCCCCTTGGAGCTGTTTCTGCAAACGGAGACAGCACAGGTTGTATGCTTTTAGGAAGTTGCTAACAATGAAATGGTAAATTATTAGGGAGCTCTGTTGAAGATACTGCTTATATTTTTAAGTGTTCATTTTAAACGTGAGTGTGAGTTTGCCTTGGGAAGTTGTATATGTATGTTTCCTTGGGATATGTGTGTACGCAGAGAGGTTGAGCATTGTCCCATGAAATCGAGATTTGACAACATCGCAGGTTACTCTGGTAAACTTTTCCTATCTGATTGTCTGCTTCTCATCGCCAGTTAAATTCAAAAGATGGTTAGGAAGCATTGTTATTAGTAAACAAATGAGTCCTTCAATTTGTGTGACACTTTTTAGTTCAGTTTAAAACAGTATTTTATTGTGCTTCATCACATAGCCCCGTGTGGTATGTTAGGGTTTTCACAGTTAAGGAATCCAGAGTTCTTCCTTTCCTCTGCGAAACTCTGGCTCCAAAGCCCCAGCCCCACGACCGAAGGCAGCTCTGCCTCGGCCCCCTCCGCGGGCCCCCGAGCTGCTTCTCCCGCTCGGCCCCAGCGGCAGCTGTGCCGGAAGCCTGTCTCCGTGCTCCGACGTGAAGCCGGGTCCGAAGCGGGATCCGTGTGCCCTGTGCTCGGGCTCAGGGAGAGTCCTAAGTCTGCCACTTTCTGTGGAACTTAAAAGGTGTTATCATTTAGTACTTTTGGCTCCCTAACTAAACTCCAAGCTTTTAGAGAAAAAGTTCTTTTTGTTCATCTTTGCATTTCCTGACTTGTAACAGTGCCCGACACTTCATAGTTACTTGGCACCTATTTCTTGAGGGAAAACATGAGAGGAGAGTCAGGGGCTGTCCGAGGAGAGAGAAGCGGGGGCTTCTTGGTGGGGGTGGCACGGGCCTGGGCCTTGTACTAAGTGGTCAGGATGCGAGCACGTACAGATGGTGGTGAGGCGAACAGGAAAGTCACTTCTCAAAGCAAAGCTGGAGCGACGGTGTGTCTTTGACTAAAAGCCTGGGTTTTCATTTGTCTGAAAGCTTTGGGCGTCGGTGCGTGCTGACGGGAACTAAGCTGGGGGGGGCGGGGTGCTGGAATACAGCCTGGGAAGGGTGTTTGCACACCTGGCTGAGAAACGGCTTCAGTGAAGGTTTCTGAGCCAGGAGGTGGAAGTGAGCAGAGCTGCGCTCCCAGAGCACCCATCGCTCGTGCACACAAGACGAGCAGAAAATCCGGAAGGTTGTTTAGGGGAGCATCTCGGTCATGGAGTTGATCGTGGGGTTCCGGGCTAGGGGCTGCAGTGGTTGTGCAGAGGAGGCTTAATTAAAGAGACATCACGAAGACAGAGTGCACAGGAGTGTACAGCCAATTGATTGAATGACATAAGACCACAAGATTGTATGATCCTCAGACAATAACTGGATCTTGAGCAAATTATTTTACCTCTGAAATTTCAGTTTCCTCATCAAATGAAGTGGATGCCTGACAGGATTGTAGCGAGAATAAATTGTAAATGCTTTGGAAATTGCCTGTGTAAATAGTTCTTTACGGTAATTGCTTTGAACCATCTTTTTAAAATCAGTTGTCCAGATTGATGGTGCTTATGTGTGCTTTTTATCAGTGTGAGCTACAGCGGCATTTTGATGCAGATCTTATTTTTGTTGGGGAGTCCCATCCTGTTGACGGGGAGAACAAACGGAAGGGCTTCTCCTACAGAATATAAGCAGTGAAATGTGGCATTTCATTCCTGAAATGTGTTTTAGACATTGATTTTAGCATTGTGCTCTAAGATGAGAGCTTGTTTTGATAGCCATTTGGCCTCACACTGTGCGTTAGCAAGGGAGAGCAGCCAGGGGCCTCCCCCTGGGTCCGCAGGGCCTTGATTATCGCTGAGCCTGCCTGCGGAGAAGAAAGGACATCAGTTCATCTGTGTGTAGATGTCTTTCCGAGCACCAGCAGGCATAAATAACCAAAGTGTTTGAAGTCAACGAGCTTTGGTGAATAATTTCCTGATGTGAGGTTTATATTTGTACACACACTCGGCCACTCACTAGATTATCCATTCCATGAGGGCAGGGACCACCGCCCTCTCCTCAGCGCCCCCATCGGCGTGTAATGGGTGTTTGTTCTTGGCCGTGTGAGTACACCGCTGACGCAAGCCAGCTCCAACCCCGTGTTGTCCACCAGCCTCAGTTTCTTGGCTACACCCCTAACTTGGAATTGAAGCCAGATTTTCCTACATT